GGGGGGGAGTCACCCCCCTCCTCTGCTCCAGAAAATTTTGGCTGGAACTTTCTCCGAATTTGGGACATTTACTAAGCAACTTTCTCCGATTTTAGAGAAATATGCTTGACAGTTTTCTCTAAAGTAGGAGAAAATCCTATTTCGGAGAACACTTTTAAGCAGTTTTCTCTGATTTTGAAGGAATATATTATAAAAATTTTTCAAAAATTGGAGAAAACTGTTTAATAACTTTCTCCAAATCGGAGAAAATCCAATTTTGGAGAAAGTTGATCAAAGCATTTCTCGGAAACCAGAGAAAATTACCTAAAAGCATTCTCCAAATCCAAACTTGAATTTTCTCTGATTTTGAAGGCATATATAAAAAAACTTTATCTAAAATCAGAGAAAATTGTTAAATGCACTTCTACAAGATGGAAGAAAATTGCCTAAAAATGTTCTCCAAACTTGAGTTTTATCCGAATTTATAGAAAATTGTTTAATGTATTTTTCTGAAAGCAGAAAAATCCAATTCTGGAGAAAACTATTAGGCAATTTTCTCCCATTTTGGAGAAATTCGTTAGAAATTTTTTCTAAATTAAAAGAGAATTCAAGATTCCAGAACAGTTTTGAGCGATTTTATTCGATTTTGGAGAAATATATTATACAATTTTCTCTCATTTAGAGAAAACTTCAGTTTGGAGAACAATTTTTGACTTTCTCCAATTTTAGGACTGAGCCTCCTCCCCGGATCCGACCTCATCATGCCGTCCCTGGTCGAAAATTACCAGTAACAGTATGTCATAGAGAAGAGACAGACGTCTGTTTATTGTCATCATAGAATATTTCATTACCCTCATTGATGTCATCATTATCACTAGAGATTGATAAAAAACATGTTCTTCTGAAAGAACACATGTTTTATTAGCTTCTGGTACAGATGTTTGTTGCTTGAGTAACACATTTTTTATTCGAGTAACAGCTTCATTAGATGAAAATGATGTAACAAGACATAAAAGTGATGGATCCATTTTCGAATCATTATACTCTTGTCGTAGATGATAGCACTTATATAAGACACAAAAAACATACTGAAAATTGGGAATTAAAGGAGGGGGAAAGCATTGCACTTACCAACACCACAAAACCTACGCTTTACCTCATTCACATAAAAACCGTGGACAAGATAAAATATTTAAGCAAGGGAATCCAATGATAACTCTTTCCATGCAAGCCATCTCCTGAAAACAGCATTTAAACGGTCAATTGGATTATTAGACACACCTGGTATTTTATTAAAAACATTTCGGTGACGACTCGACCATCCACCTGAAAAACAAACTCACGGTATGATGTATCGAAAACATTCTCTTTTTTGATGACTCAACTTATCCCTTAAAGATAAATCGAAATACCCTCTACCAAATATTTATCATTGAGAAATAGATCAAAGAAATTCTCTAAAGATAAGTCGATATATGGCTGCGCTTGTGTTTTGCTGAGTAAATGTCTTTGAAGAAGTTATTCTTTTTTATTCTCTTTAATATCATAAACCAAACACCGTGGATTGTACAAAGAGAAAGAACGTAGTAACGCAAATTACTATTGACTTGAATGAATTACATCCAGTTTTATGTGTTAGACGAAAAATAAATATTTTAACTGACCTAATTCATTAATACTTGGTATTAGATTTTTGTGAAACCAATCATGCAAAATTTGATGACCATATTTAAGAAATGTTGTTGTATTCATTGGTGAAATCAAGTTTAGATAGTGTTCTAAATAGAATCGTGATAATATCCATAAGACTATTTATAATTTCTTTTTTTTTTCTTCAAAAAAATGTACATCTTGTTTATTAACATCAGCAATTTGTTGAATAAGAAGATAATATTTTTTAGCTGCTGCTTTCATATTTTTCCCTTAATGATTCCAATATCGAAGTTGTTCTACTTTTGAATAATAGAACTAGAATGCATTTTTCAAAGCATCTTCATAGCGTGTGACCAACACAATTTTTCCCGTTTTTAGAATTTCATGATGTAAAATCTGGACGAATTGATTATGTGATTGTTGTTTTTTTGTAATCATGGAAAAGAACAGCAAGTAGAAGGATCGATTGTCCGACGAACATAAGATGTTTGAATGTAACAATCTAAGCCGAAAAAGAAATATAAAACAGAATCATTTTATAGTTTAGTGTGTTCCTACTGAAACATATGTTTCTCTTAAAGAAAACATCGTATCATAATATATAGGTACAGTTTCTTTTGTAATAAGTAGTAGTTTAGAAAATTGTTCTTTTATTTGATCATGAGTCAAAACGACTAATAGTTCTGGTTGTATCTGAAGTAATTTAAAATAACCATTAAAATCAAATGATAACCGTAAAAGATTTTTTATTTCATCATTTGTAATTCTTTGCTGTTTTGAAAGTTTTTGACGACGATATTGACGTTGAGCAACGTTCCTTGGTGCATTATCTTCATCATTTATTGCAATAAGATATTTATAAGTTTTAGAGCCTGACACATCTATAACAAGAGTATCGATTCTTTTAATCGTTGATGACAGGGTACAATGAAATATATGTGATGTTCTTGATTTCGAATTACCATGAGCTCGTCACGTTGCGATATCCAAATTGCCCAAGTCAAAAGAAAAAATGTGTGAGATAGAATCAAAATTTAATCCGCATTATAACATATCTTCCCGATCTATCCTATTTTCTATAATCTGTGTATCATAATATCGTTTGAGGAAGACATAATGTACAGTTTTTTTAAAGAAAATATTTCTCTCAATTGTTGGAATATATAATGTAATTTGAAAATGATGACAATTATATTGATTTTTCTTTTAATTTGTTATAATGTTTATATAAAGACCAATCCTTTAATAATCAAATTATGGAAAGCTATTATTTTAGAAAAAATGGTGGAAATTATAGTTTCTTAAAGTAAGATGAAAACGAAAAGTTCGTTAAAAACAAATTATTTTCGATATATTGTCTAAACATCAATCATTTATATATTTCACATATCTTTTCCAGTAATATTTTTTTTAAATCTCAGAAATAGATTATCATAGATCTTTCTATATTCATTTAGATAAATTTTTGAACTTGATATTAAATGAGACTGCTTATCAATATAACATGCTATAACATCTAAGTTGTTTTCGTTTGATATCTAAACTTGTTAAAAGTAGCATGGGTCCTTTTTTTATCAGCATTGATACAAGCATAATACTTTTTTTATAAAATCAAGTTGTTGTTGTCAAGAGTATGGAATTGATTTCTCGTATTTTCAAATATACTTATCGAGCTTTCATATATCTAAAAATATACAACATATTTAAAATATTATCACGTCAACATCAACTCTTACCTTAATTTTGTACGGTTAATGATAGTCGATGAACCACATTAGATACTATAGAATCTGGTAAACTCTTCAGCTTCTCATTATTATTTAGTATGAAATATAGATCATCAACAGTTCGTCGAGAAAATGAACGATGCATAACTAAAAAAAAATTTTTATCGATATCATTTATATGCTAAACTTGTCCAAATTATGACTATCAAGATTGTCATTCATGATTGTTGAACCAAAAAAAAGAATAATGATAATACTAGGTAAATAAACGCTTATTACATCTACGGATAAAAATAATTTACAAAACAAACAAATAGACTTTTTCGTATCCATGTTAATAACTATGACTATGTCATATCTTCTATAAATTTTCTATTAATTTATTGATAAATTACTTCATTCAGTTATACAGTTTGTTTTCTCGCACTTTTCGAAAAATGAAGATAAAACATGGATGAACATTTGTTGGATTATACAGCATCAAGAGACGACCAATTAGCACTATTGGTCTAAAATTCATCCAATTATTATCACCCTCTATCTTTTCTATCTTTCTTTGTAAAAAATATTTATATAAGTGGCTGTTTGTCCTATAAGACGAATGGGTAGGATGGAATGTAAATGTTTTGTTAATCGCCTCATGGGATGGAACGGGACAGAAATTTTGAGAAAATTATCTCATTCCACGTGGAACTCTGATATCGACATAACAAACAATGAAAATATGAATAATTAGATGATGTTTACCCACGATTTTTACCTACCTTTAGAAAGAGAGAATGTTCCTCTTCTAGATTGGATTTTTTTACCTTTACGCTTGTTTATTAGAAGACATCAAAGCCAACTAATGTGAAAACATGACGTCATAGCGAATCAACATAGCGAACAATCAAAATACAAATGATTTAGTCATATTGACTCATCATTTCTGCTTACCTTTTGAAAGGGGAGATTAACCATTTCTATATCTTAGTAAGCATAAGTATGGAAATAGCCAAATAACTTCATTGAAGCAATATATATACGCCTGAGAGCTGATCACCGATCAAGCAAAAACTACAATCGAATGCAACCCTGTACTTTGATAGTAAGTATACTATTTTACTCATTATGTTGTAATGCTATGAGATAAAGTGTCTAAGAGAAAGAAAAATAATAGTAGCTAACATGAACATGGTACTAA